CTACACCATAGAAGGACACACAGGCAACCTCTGAGACCACAAAATTTGAAAGTTTTTTAACAGACGAATCTCCAGCTAGCGTGCTGTGACGAACTCTAGCTCAATTGACGGCGTTTAGGTGACTTGAGCTGAGAGTTCCGTCACGGCCACGCTAGCTGGAGAATTCGTTGTAAAAACTTGGCATTTGTGGTCACATTGGTGCCTGTGCTAAATCCTCCTATGTGTAAGAAATAAACCTAGTTGGATGAATCTATTGTGGCTAGCTGGTCCATGGCTAACACGAGGTCTGGATTTTGAGACTCCTCTGACCGCGGGTTTCTATCCCAGCCCGTTAGTTACCATTTGGTCATAGGCACATGTCGATTAGACACTTACAGGCCTGTTGTATGTGCATGTGTGTATGTGTGTGGTGTGTGTTGTGTGTTGGTGTGTGTGTGGTGTGTGTGTGTCTGTGTGTTGTGTGTGCGTGTGGTGTGTCTGTGTGTGTGTGTGGCGTGTGTGGGTGTTGTGTGGTGTGTTATGTGTGTTGTGTTGTGGTGTGTGTGTGTGGTGTGGTGTGTGTGTTGTGTGTTGTGTGTGTGTGTGGTGTGTCTGGTGTGTGGTGTGTATGCTGTGTGGTAGGTTTAAGTGTTACACGTCTAATATTGAGGCAGCAAAATGTGGATTAGTTATTTGGAAAGTAGACCTGTAAAATGGTGCAAGTCTCATCTATGTCGGTTATTTGTGTAAAGTTGTAAGTGGTGTTAATGTGGTAGCACCGGCGTGGTCAGTGTGGAGTGTAGACTGCTCCTGGCCTGGGCAACTTGCCAGTGTCTCCCTCACTCACTCAGAAAAAAAAAAAATAAGTAGTGATAATCTCGGTGATTTGTTGTTCCCTCTGTTACTGTTGAACCGCCTCACTTGTTGCCACTTTCTGAATACCCAACCATCCTGTGATGCAATATCACAAGCAATATATATATATTATATATATATATATATATATATATATATAATATATATATATATATATATATATATATATATATATAATAACATAGTCGCCGTCGCCCACCGAGACATGGTGACCCAAAAAGAAATACAAATCCCCATTAAAGAAAATACTTTCCTCATCATTCAACACTCAGTTTTTCGCCTCACTCACACATAATCACGTTTTTGTGAGCAGAGTGCTCAGAACACAACAGTTTTAGAACAAATATACGTATAAAGAAACGACAACATATCCCTCCAAACTGCATATCCCAAACCCCTCTATAGAGTGCTGGCATATATTATATATATATTAAATATAATTTCTATAATATAGAATATATAATGTATATATATATATAAATAGATATATATATATATAATATATCTGCGAATATGTAAAACTGGTCAATTAGCAAGAACTCATTTACAATTTAAGTCCTTTCTAAATTTTTCTTTATAATGTTTAAAAATATATTTTTTTCATTAATGTGATGTAAAAATTTTAATTTTGCACCAAAAGAACTAGAAAACTTACCTAACCTAATAAGCAAACGCATTATTTTAGCCTAACCCAACTAAATATAATTTAGATAGGTTTACAATAATTTTAATACTAAACCAACAAACACAGTGAAATATATTTTTTCGTAGATTCAGAATGATTTGGCAAATTAATTGCATACACAAATTTTCACTTGTCCTATTTGGCAAGATGAAGCGTTGCTATTTAAGCAAGAAGGCAATTCTCTGCCTATTCGGCACGACATATAAAAATATATAATATATATATATATATAAATAAATATATAATATATAGATATAAGATATATATATATATATATATATAGATATATATATATATATAATGCTCACCACACACACACACACACACACACAGCACACACACACACACCACACACACACACACACACACACACACACAACACAACAAACACCATTGAAGGCACTACAATGGATCAGGGAATACTTGTCAGGAAGAACAGCAGCGAGTCAGGCACTGCGAGGTTCAGAGTGGGCACCTGTGAACAGCGGGTCCCACAGGGGTCAGTCCTAGGACCAGTGCTGTTTCTGGTATTTGTGAACGACATGAAGGAAGGAATAGACTCTGAGGTGTCCCTGTTTGCAGATAACGTGAAGGCGATGAGAAGAATTCATTCATTCGATCGAAGACCAGGCAGAACTACAAAGGGATCTGGACAGGCTGCAGACCTGGTCCAGCAATTGGCTCCTGGAGTTCAATCCCACCAAGTGCAAAGTCATGAAGATTGGCGAAGGGCAAAGAAGACCGCAGACGGAGTACAGTCTAGGGGGGCCAGAGACTACAAACCTCACTCAAGGAAAAAGATCTTGGGGTGAGTATAACACCAGGCACATCTCCTGAAGCGCATATCAACCAAATAACCGCTGCAGCATATGGGCGCCTAGCAAACCTCAGAACAGCATTCCGACATCTTAATAAGGAATTGTTCAGGACCCTGTACACCGTGTACGTTAGGCACATATTGGAGTATGCGGCACCAGTTTGGAACCCACACCTAGCCAAGCACGTAAAGAAACTAGAGAAAGTGCAAAGGTTTGCAACAAGACTAGTCCCAGAGCTAAGAGGTATGTTCTACAAGGAGAGGTTAAGGGAAATCAACCTGACGACACTGGAGGACAGGAGAGATAGGGGGGACATGATAACGACATACAAAATGCTGAGAGGAATTGACAAGGTGGACAAAGACAGGATGTTCCAGAGATTGGACACAGCAACAAGGGGACACAGTTGGAAGTTGAAGACACACATGAATCACAGGGATGTTAGGAAGTATTTCTTCAGCCACAGAGTAGTCAGTAAGTGGAATAGTTTGGGAAGCGATGTAGTGGAGGCAGGATCCATACATAGCTTTAAGCAGAGGTATGATAAAGCTCACGGTTCAGGGAGAGTGACCTAGTGGCGACCAGTGAAGAGGCGGGGCCAGGAGCTTGGACTCGATCCCTGCAACCTCAACTAGGTAAGTACACACATGTGCAGAATAGGTAAAACTTGCGATTTTAGCTTAAATAGCAACGCACCTCTTGCTGAATAGGGCAAGCGAAATTTTGTGTATGCAATAATTTCGCAGAAATCATTTTGAATCTAACTAGAAAAAATATATTTCATTGTGCTTGTTTATTATTAAATTATTTAAACTTATATAAATATATTTAGTTGGGCCTTGGTCACAGACCGGGCCGCGGGGGCGTTGACCCCCGGATCTCTCTCCAGGATTAGGCTAAATTAAATTACGCTTGCTATAATGAGGTTAGGTAAGTTTCCTGAAGTTCTTTTGGTATAAAATCATTAATTTTTATATTAACATAAATGAAAAAAATATATGTTTAAACGTATAAGATAAAATTTTAGAAAGGACTTAATTTTAAATGAGTTATTGCTAATTGACCAGTTTTACCTATTGAGCACATATATATATATATATATATATATATATATATATATATATATATATATATATATATATATATATATATATATATATATATATATATAAATTCATTTGGATTTGTTTTTATTTTGGATATTTAGCAAGATTTGTGATGACTTGTGTGAGTCCTTTCTCAATATTTTAGTAATAAATACTAGGTTAAGGTTAATTATGCTATCACTAACACTGGCAATACTAAGTTTCTTCGACATGTGAAGAAATTTAGTAGTTTTAGAACAGCCATGAACAGTTCTGAGGGACTTTGTTTTGCATTAGCTCCAATCAGTGGAATGTGTAGAAAACGTAGTAATTGTAGTTTGATGAGTGCTGGCTTCCGGGATATGTGGTGTGTCTTGTGTTGGCATCACTGCTCACAAGGACGTTATTATGTTCAGCTGGTAACGCTTAATGGCAAGATATTGTTAGTGTACTAAAGTGGTAACAATAAAGCCAAGGACCGCACTCAGGTGGTAAAACTGTTTTTGGTAACTTTGTGCTAATTTAGTAACAAGAACAAGGAATTCGCTGCACATGGGTGGTAACACTGCTGACAAGAACCTTTTTTTTTTACTAGGTTGGTTGTCTTACTGTGGATATATATATATATATATCAATGTGATGGAGATTACATCACTGCCGTATACCATCGTGTCCACAACTTGAATATATTCAAAAACAGTAATGTCGTGTGTATAGCAAGGATACTCTCATACGTCAACCTGACGTGTTTCTCAGTCGGAAATCACCATATTCATGGACCTACCTGTTGTAGATTACGTGGGTCATCGGCCCCTCCACCTGATCACGTACCTGGCCTGGTTGGTAGCCTGATCAGGCATGCTGTTCGTGCTAGTAGCACATACAGCTCAAGCAACTTTTCAGATTCCTTCTTGAAGACAGCTAGAAGTCTGAGATGATTATTGACCCAAGTCTATATGTCAGTGGTTTGGTTTGTAGATTTTGAAGACCTCATTAGCATACCTTGTATACGCGGCAAGAAGACTTGACCCAGGTCAAGTTAAGCAAGAACACGACCTCATCTTCTTCAGGGAGTTAATGAGCTTAGCTTCATGGCAGCATAAAGCTTGTTAAAGTCTATGGTGAGAGTGGAAGAAGTGATGGAGAGATGGTTTCATCGTGGGCATAAATCTAAATACACAAATATAATAAACACTGGTCAGCGAGCCCAGGAGGTCTACCACCATGAAACCGTCTCAACCACTGTGCAGGTAAACATTGTTCCGGGAAAACTTGAACATGAGTACAACAAACTGATGAGATACATCATTTAAATAAATATTTTTTTGTTTTAGAAATAGATGAAAATTACTGGACGTAAACATGGCTGCCTGTCACGGGTCAGTAAGCCTCTTAAATTATATTTGTTCATCATTTACTGGGCAAATTCAACAGTCATAAAGTGTCTGTGGTTATGTAGGAGTTAACATGTAGTTCCCATGAGGAGAAATGTTTTATGAGGGTAATGACATCCTAGGTGTTAACTTTGGAAATAATCGTGATTATTTTGTGTTTCAGATAGTGTGATGGGAGGCGAGCAGAGCCGTGATGTGGGTGGTGTTGGGAATGGGCGTGTGGATGCGGTGGACCGCAGGGGGTCAGACTCCAACCGCCCTACCTCCACTTCCCCGAGACCCTCCATCTGTTCAGACGCGGACCTTCCTTACATCTCCTACACTGTTAACAGACCCATAGGTGGTGAGTCAAAGTTTGTCATTATTACCTCTGTTCTAATGTTGCACAACATAAACTTAATTCTGAGTTCTTGCCCTGGCAAGGTTTCCTGACTATCTTGACTTGCAGTTTAGCGTGTCTCCAAGGTAAGTCGTAATGAATGACTGTCAAGGAATAAAGAAAAAGAAAACAAATGGACAGGAAATCGAATCGAGGTCTCATATGTAGAAGGCCCTGTGCTGTACCATTCAGCTACGATGGTTTTAACAGGAGAGTAATAACTCACTTTTGTGACACATTGCAATAGTAGTCACAATCTGCGACACTTGTCTCACAACAGCACCACAGCTTTCCTTGTAGACTAAAGTAAACCAGTCCCTCCTTAAGGTTACAAACAGACCCATTGTGGATAAAACTTGCTTCAGTGACTGACAATGCTTCAGAACAAAATGGGAAAAAAAAAAATCTCCAAGCGGTGAGTGCGCAATATGCACTCTCCTCAAGCCTCAGGACATTCACATTGGTGTAACCATGCCTCGCCACCCTCGTCCTCACCGAACACAGGTTTATCTCTGGCAGCGCGTTGGCAGACCAATTTGGCCTCCACGGTCTCATCTGCGATATATCAGAAAGAAACAGTGCGAGAATACAGAGGTCAAAGATGTCAAGCGTGGCTTCGGAATAGCCCGTTGCCCATCAGAACGGGAACCATAAGCTAACCAATCATGATGGCAGCCAGAAGTTCCCGAATGGAATCATCCTATCCTGGAAAGGCTGTAACTTTACAGGACTAGGTAGTGAGTTATTAAAAGCAGTTTTTGTGCAAATAGTGAGGCATTGGTTAGTGTATGTAGGAGAGAGGGGGATTATTTTCCAGTAAAAGTAGGCCTTAGACATGGATGTGTGATGTAACCATGGTTTAACATTTATGGATGGGGTTGTAAAAGAAGTGAATAATAAGATGTTGGAGAGAGAGATCTGTTGTTAAAAGATAAGAAATTTGAGAGTTACCTCAATTTCTCTTAGAATATTCTAAAAAGAAATTGCAAACATTGGAAATTGAAAGAGAACATAGGAAAGAGCAATGTGACGAGGGTAATAAAAATCTGGGCAATGAAAAAAATGAATGTCAGATTGTAGGAGTATGTAAATGTGTTCAGACTTGTCGGTGGATGGTCTATGAAAGAAGAGGTGAACCATAGAATAGAGAAAAAAAGTGGGTGGTGTGTTAAGGCATTTGTGGAGATAAAGAACCTTATCCATGGAAGCAAGAAGGGGAATGTACCAGAGTATAGGAGTACCAACACTGTTATGTGGGTGTGAAGCATAGGGTTTTCAATGTTGTAGCATGGCGGAGGCTGGAAACAGCACAGTTGTGTTTAAGGGCAATATGTTGTGTGAATATTATGTAGAGAATTCGGAGCTTGTATATTATATGTAAGGCTATTGGTTTGGGCACTTAGAAAGGATGGTGTAAAATAGAATGACTTGGAGAGTGTATAAATCTGGGGAGGAGGGGTAGGGATCATCCCAGGAAGGGATGAAGGGAGGGAATGAAGGTGGTTTTGAGTGTTAGAGGTTTGAACTCCCAGCTTGTGTGAGGATAGGATTTTTAGATTTTGCCGCCGAAGCGGCTAGTTTATTGGACATCCCATATCCATCCTGTGGAAGGTAGCTCAAGAATATATGGACACACAAAAGGCCTAAGAACTAGGTCCTAAAAGGGTTAATGGGAGTATATATGATACGAGTGAGTGGAGGTAAGTGGTTATTGTGAACTGATGTGCTGTTGGAGTGTAAGGGAAAGCAATAAGCCAGACTGACGATACAAACTGCAACATCCTCACTCCTCTGAAGGAAGGGTGAACAGGTTGCAGTTGGGAGGGTCCTCTGGCAAGACGGCGATTAAATAAATGACTCTAAATGTGTTTCCTCTTATTTGAGTAAGTTTTACGTATTCGGCACGAAATACATATATATTATATATATATATATATATATATATATATATATATATATATATATATATATATATATATTATATATATATATATATATATATATATGTCGTGCCGAATATGTAAAACTGGTCAATTAGCCAGAACTCATTTAAAATTAAGTCCTTTCTAAAATTTTCTCTTATACGTTTAAATATATATATTTTTTTTCATTAATGTTGATGTAAAAATTTATAATTTTGCACCAAAAGGAACTTAGAAAACTTACCTAACCTTATTATAACAAGAGCAATTTATTTTAGCCTAACCCAACTAAATATATTTTAGATTTGTTTACAGTAATTTAATTCTAAATAAACACAGTGAAATATATTTTTTTCGTTAGGTTAAGAATGATTTTGGCGAAATTATTGCATACACAAATTTTCACTTGTCCTATTTGGCAAGATGAGCGTTGCTATTTAAGCCAAGATGGCAAGTTCTGCCTATTCGGCACACATATATATATATATAATATATATATAATATATATATATATATATATATATATATATATATATATATATATATATATATATATATATATATATATATATATATATATATATATATATATATATATATTATAAAGAGCAATAGCTCTCTCGGTGCTTCCCTCCAACATCATGTTTATTTATTCATAGAGGACAAAGTGTGTTTTGCCAAATATTAACCTTGAAGATTTGGTGCCCGTGTACACGTTGTGTGTGTGTGTGTGTGTGTGTGTGTGTGTGTGTGTGTGTGTGTGTGTGTGTGTGTGTGTGCGTGCGTGCGTGTGTGTGTGCGCGTGTGTGCTTATTTCCTTGATTTCTTAATAGCATTTTTTGGGGGGTTGATGTTCATGTTTTGGACTCTGTCTGGAAATAGACACTGGTAGCAGAGAATTCTTTTTAATACATTACAAATTTTTCCACCCAAGGTTGGGCTTTAATGAATGTCTTGATAAAGCCCTTTATCAGGCTATTAGATACAGCTCAGCCTTGGGCGAAATGTATTAAAAATTATTCTCTTCTACCAGTATCTTTATTTCCACTAGCGACTTTTACCATTGTTGACCTTTCGCCTCTCTGAGAATCACTAATAATTCAATGTTTTTTTTACCAATCTGTCTTCGCAGCTTGTCTCCGCCGTAAGATATTAGACTGGTGACAAATCTCTCGTCCTTAAATTGCCTTGGGTGTTGTAGGTTTGGATTTCATGTTGATGCTGTAAAAATCAGTTTGAGTGCCACTTGCTGTGTACGTTAACCTGATTCAAAACCGTTCTTAAATTTGTCAACGTTGAATACAACTCTGACGCTGTATGATTTATGTGAGCCTTTGTTGACTAGTTCACTAATCTAGCGTAGTTCACTATGTAGACTCGGATCCTACTTTCTTTCCGTGTTATTTGTGTCCTCAATGGTTAGTATACTATTGCGTGTTCTCAGTTTTGTTTACAGGGATCGATTCAGATCTGGCCCCGCTTCCTGCGTAACATCAATAGGCTGTGTTGCCATGTCTTCCTGCGTGAAGTCCGAATTATTCTTGAGGTTCTGTATATATTTGCCTCTTCTGTTATTAATCTAGTGAGTTGCACCTGCAACCATTATACAGAAAAAAGTGCTCCGTATGGTCATCTGCGTCTATAGGTGTTCTCTTTATCAGAATAAATGGTCTGGTTATACCGACAAGATATGGTAAAAAGACACTTATATATGCAGATCTTCTTGGATCTTCTCTAGTTTCTCTGTATATACTTGATCAGGTGCCGGCTTCATGCTGGCGCCACATACTCCAAGATGGGCATAGTGTAAGCTGTGTACGATATTCTAAATGAATCTTTAAGGTTCCTAGAGGAATTTTATCTTCCAGGTGTGTGTTAGTTACAATAGCTATATGTTGTGTTGCAGTATGAGCTCATTTGATTCATAGCTGCTAATGTATTACTATAATTGTATTGAATAGCTAGAGTATGCATCATTCATACTTTATATTGAAGAGCCTGTTAGTTTTACGGGAGTATAAATCTGTAGTCGAGTTTACGTATTGAGTGTTGGGCAGACTCGCCGAAGCACACGGCACGGGGGATGCGTGGACTACGAGGTGGTGGGTCCCCTAGGAGGAACTCTCGTCGCCTGCAGCAGCAGAGACCTCAGGAGGTGGTAGTCGTCCGTGAAGCTACCACCAACACCACTGGCATCGACCCACAGCTTGCAAGACTCCAGGTACTATTTCTTTCCTAGTATGTACAAATGTGAGTCATGATAACTGCTACAATCGTACACACCTCTCAAATATATAAACAAAGAAGAATGCAGTAGTGAATATCAAAATGTTGCCTATGTGTCTTACCTACCAAGAATGCAGTAAATATCCTGTCCCATGCGAATCAACTCCTGTTTGCACCTATTTAAATTTATTTAACCTTCGTTGTAATTTTTTAATGTTAAAACAATGGTGGCAATAATGAGGTGTGTCTCCCCGTGCTGTGCCTTGGAGACTCACGTTCTGTTGAACACTCGATAGTCTATCTTAATTGTTATTATATTCATGGGAAAACAAATCCGCACCGGTTATGCAACCCCTAGGGAATTGGGGTTTAGGGTAAATAAGATTTGATCCATTGAAGAGGAGAATTTCTCCATTTCCTCTAGTCAAGAGTCACCAGCATAAAGTCAGCGTCTTCCCTTTAAGGTACTTTACTGCAGCCTCTTAAAGTGTCATCCACAGGCGGGTGTACACGTAACTAGCCTCACATATCAGGAAGGCCAGGGATCACCTCCCAGCTGTATATAGTTAGGTAGCGTGTTTCCCTTGCCATTAGAGAAAGAAGGCTCGAGCCTTCAATGTTTTATATAATAGCGACAGGTATTGTGTTGCCGAGTGTAAGTTTTATCCACAGCCTCTGCACTAAATTCTACACCGCTTCTTTAACTCCCATGTTGCTTTCTTGTGGTAACAACGTCTCTATTTCTAGCACTCATAGAGTTTTAGGCGACATAAAATCGTTTAATTTAAAAACAATGAAAGAGAAACAATACAGGACCTTCGTGATTTTTTTATATTATTAAAAAACAGTGTGAGTGATCCATCACTAAAGTGTTTGAAATGTTTTCATGATGGTCTAATTGCATATTAAAGTGTCACGTAAACAAAGGTATCACTTGCCTTTATTAACTTGTTGCATATGAAATATATACTTAAAAAAAATCTTGTAATTAAATTGATCTTTGTGACTTGTCATTCTGGCACTTGGTACCTATGGTGTGTCTCGTGACAGTCTATCCCAACGTTCCTGCCCATCATGCGAGGGGCGCTGACGGCACCTTCAGCACGGGACCCTGAGGTACTGGAGAGGCTCCATTCTGGCGCCATGGTGGAGTTGTGTCGACGCTACCAGATCCACCTCTATGCTGCTGCCTCCGCTACCAGCCAACACCAGGACAACCTGTCAACTAAGATCAGGGAGGTCAGTGTACACCCACACTTTACTACATCCTATGTATACTGTTGCATTCTACATTGCAGCTGCTACCAGCGCCATTACCACAGTGTAGGTGGCATAAGTATATTGGGATTATAGATGGTAGGTATAAAGTTCGTCAGGAAACAGGACAAGTGTTTCCTGACGCGGGTCTTAGTCATGTAATGACTCGCAGCTGGAGCTTTTGGTCATCTGACCGAGGCCTTCCACTGGCTTACCGGTCCGGGATTACAGAAGGGAGCGTGCAGGAGAGCAGAGGAATGATTAACGAAATAAAGTAAAAAGGGTGATAAGGGAGAAAAAGTTGATGCAGGAGTTTCATAATGCAAAAACAATGTAAGGAAGGCGGAGGGTGTGGAGAAGAAAAACAGAGATAAAAAGATAGGTGAGGGAGTGGAATAACAGAAGTTCTTTTGGCAGTCTGACAAGGTCGATTAACACTTGCCTGCTAATTTTAAGACTGGCTTGCCATAGGTTCGAACCTTTCACGCGGTGAGTATTGATGGCAGACTGACATGAAGGTTACTCTGAGTCCTAGTGTCTGAACACTGAATGAGTCTCACAACTTTCTGATATATCCCGGGGGTTTTCCACAGATCGAGGCGAGCGTGAGCGGGCTGGTATCGCAGATGACGGAGCGACAGAAGAACTTCGCTCGGTACGCTGAGAAGCTGAGCCAAGTGACGGAGGTAAGCCACGCCCTGGCCCGCTGCCACGCCTCCCTCAACCTCATCCTGGAGAGTCTTGAGACTCTCAACGACTCACTTCCCATCCAGGAGAGACTCGAACCTTTCGTCTGGACGACCGGCTGAGCTGCCACCGGGAAGTGACAAGGATGGAGTAGAGAGCAGAGGGGAAAATATATACAGGACGATGATTTTAGTATGACCTACAATATATCTCAGCGATTTGATCGTTCGCCTTACAATTGAAAGAACCTGGGATTGATTCTCGGGCTAAGCGAGACTTATGGGAAATTCCTCTTGCACCTGCTTCTCTCGCTTCCCTAACAGTAAATTGGTATCTTGAGTGTCAATAGACTGTTGTGGGTTCTATCATGGGGGTGTTAGTATACCTATGATTGGGCTGGGCTTTGAAATGAGCTGAGGTACCATAACAGTTCTTAGCCTGTAGATTCAATGTGCGTAAACAATGCATCTAGTTGAGGAAGAAAAGAAAGTAGGCAAAAAGAAAGAATTGCCGAAGAATGGTTCAGTAGACAGGGAAGAGGGCGGATTAGAAATAAAGAGGAAGAACGAAACAATGTCTGGTGAAGACAAATAAAGGAAGGCAGGGCACAAGAACGAGAGACAGTGAGACGGTAGTATTGAGTAAGGAAGCTGAATGAGGGGGCAAGATATTCAGAATTAGTTGCATAAGAAGGAATGGAAGGAAAGTTGTGAAAAGAAATATAAACAGGAAGAAATAGGTGAAAGTTTACACCTTTAAAAGAGCGAAGGTTGGAGAAGTAAACGGGAAGAATATAAAGAAAACAAAGAGATAGAACAAACGCACAAGTGAAGGAAAAAGTCAAGAGGAAGGCAGGAGGGTGAGCGCATAAGACAATAGAGAGTTGGCAAGACAAAGCAGGTGTAGACAAGCCACGCCAGACATTGTTAGATGTTGATTTGTAACGTGAAGGACGATAGTAAATTAAATATATATGAAACAAGAATATCCACTGTCACCCTCTAGTGACATGGTGACTGTGACCCGAGGGACTGTGATACAATAATGTATTTTAGAGTCTGGACCCAGACTCTAGAATACATTATTGAAGCGATATATTAACAGTAACTACGTGAGTAGTAGCTACATGACCCTGTCGTAATATAACTCGCGTGACTTGTTTGGTGTAGGAACTGGGTCCTCGTCGGAATATAGCTACTGCGAACACTTCTTGTTACAGTAATTGTGGCACGCTTGTGATGTGGCTGTGATCCCTCTCGTGGTATAACTGACTCTCCTGGTATGCTGGTCACCCTATCGTGGTATAACTGACTCTCTCTTGGTATATTGGTCACCCTCTAGTGGTATAACTCTTCTGGTATACTGGTCACCCTTTCGTAGCATAATTGACTCTCTCCTGGTATGCTGGTAACGCTTTCATGGTATAGAAACTAATCTGGGGGGAAGGGGGGGGGAATCATCATTGACAAAATAAATACATATATAGGGAACAGGATTTTGATTATACACTGTAAGAATAACACCTGCAGAATTCGCTGTATCCTGCAGAATCTGAAACCTAAAAAGTCTCGGCTTCAGTATACTAATATATTGTGTCGAAACAGTTAAACCCCAGGTTGTGCCATAATGGATGTGTTTATTATATAAAGTAGTCTTTAGTATTTATATATAGTTTACACACGAATGTTCGCATTGCAGCAGTCACATGACATAGACCTTTTAGAACCCAACCTCAAACTGATAATAAGAATGAAAGTTTATTTTTCAATATTTAGACAGTTGCTTTTTGTCGATGACACTGTGCTTTTGGAAGATTCTGAAGAGAAGTTGCAAAGAATGTTGGTCGAATTTGAGAGGGTATCTATATGGAAATTAAAAGTGAACATAAGAAAGAGCAAGGTGATGAGGGTAACAAACATAAGAACATAAGAACGAAGGAACACTGCAGAAGGCCTACTGGCCCATGCGAGGCAGGTCCAAGTCTCCTACCGGCTTAAGCCAATGCACCCAACCTAGTCAGGTCAGGTCACATTGACTTAAGGGAGGAACACGGCAACCGACCTGGTAGCACAAGCTATCAGGTCTAACTCACACCCACCCACATCTACTCATGTATTTATCCAACCTATTTTTAAAGCTACACAACGTTCTGGCCTCTATAACGGTACTTGGGAGTTTGTTCCACTCATCCACAACTCTATTACCAAACCAGTACTTTCCTATATCCTTCCTGAATCTGAATTTTTCCAACTTAAAACCATTGCTGCGAGTCCTGTCTAGGCTAGATATTTTCAGCACACTATTTACATCCCCTTTATTTATTCCTGTCTTCCATTTATACACCTCAATCATATTGGAAGGGGGGAGTATGGAAGAAGGTATTATGTTCAGATTATAGATAGTGAACTTGTCGGCAGATAGGTTTATGAAAGATAAAGTGAACCATAGAATTGATGAAGGGAAAAAGTTGGGTGGTGCATCGAGGCAACTATGGAGACAAAAAACGTCATATATGGAGGCAAAAGGGGTAATGTATGAGAGTATTGTAGTACCAACAATTTTATATGGATATGAAGCATGGGTTGTGAATGCTGCAACCAGGAGGAGGCTGGAGGCAGTGGAGAAGTCATGTCTGAGGGCAGTGTGTGGTGTAAATATTATGGTTTGGACATTTATAGAGGTTGGAGCAAAACAGAATGACTTGCAGGGTATATAAATCTGTAGTGAAGGAAATGCAGGATAGGGGTCACCCTAGGAAAGTTGGAGGGAGGGGGTACAGGAGGCTTTGTAAAAAAGGAGTCGAACTTGAGTCCTGGAGGTGGGAAAAATAGTGCCTGTACTTGGGAGGGGTGAAGATTTGTGCGGTTTGAAGAGTCATCTGAACTATAGCATCGGCGCGCCTCTGGCAAGACAACGATGAAGTGAATGATGATGAGAGTGTTTCTTCTTTTTCGGGTCACCCTACCTCGGCGGGAGACTGCCGGTGTTAAAAAAAATAGACACTGGGTAAGTTCAAAACAACGAATGAGCTATAGTGTGTATTATCTAGTTAATAAGAACATAAGAACATAAGAAAGGAGGAACACTGCAGGAGGCCTGCTGGCCCATACTAGGTAGGTCCTTTACAATTCATCCCACTAACAAAACATTTGCCCAACCCAATTTTCAATGCCACCCAAGAAATAAGCTCTGATGTGAAAGTCCCACTCAAATCCAACCCCTCCCACTCATGTACTTATCCAACCTAGATTTGAAACTACCCAAAGTCCCAGCCTCAATAACCCAACTAGGTAGACTGTTCCACTCATCAACTACCCTATTTCCAAACCAATACATTCCTATGTCCTTTCTAAATCTAATCTTTAGATCTTCACACTTGTACTTTTTTTTTCAGTACAGATCTCCCTATAGTGTTAGATTTGTACCTGAACTTCATGACATTGATATATTTGTTTTCATTATTTCTTCTTCTCACTCCCCTTGTTGCTCCTGTTGGCAGTTGAAATGTGTGAATTGGGTGCTTTATGCATGCCATGCCTCTTTTCCCGATTTTCTCCTGTTTCATATTCTAGTGAGTGTTTCAATTTTTTTTTTTTACCATCTTTGTTTTTGCTTGAGCATCAAATGGAATTCCCCAAACCTAGCAAGAGGCTGAGCTATGGTGTAGAAGCTTTGTACTGCTTGACAATCAATCTTTACTGAGCACTTTAATATATATATATATATATATATATAAATATATATATATATATATATATATATATATATATATATATAATATATAATATTATATTATAAAGTATATATTTATATATATATATATTTTTTATTTTATCACACTGGCCGAAATTCCCACCAAGGCAGGGGGGCCCGAAAAAGAAAAACTTTCACCATCATTCACTCCATCACTGTCTTGCCAGAAGGGTGCTTTACACTACTAATATATATATATATATATATATATAAAAATATAATATATATATATATATATATATATATATATAATATACACACAAAAGAATGTTTGAATGTGTTATGAAGGAGGGAATTACAGGAGACTGTAGTTTGTGAACCACCAAAATACTAATATACCATCAAGTAATCACACCGAATACATGGAGGTATTTACTTGTTAAAATAGTCTCTATAACACAGTCTACAATGTGAGTATATCTACGTAAAAGTTTTTGTGTGCGTATGTATATAATATGTGTGTGTGTGTGTCGTTCAGAATAGGTAAAACATGCGATTTTGGCTTAAATAGCAACTCTCTTCTTGCCGAATAAGGCAAGCTAAAATTTGTGTATGCAATAATTTCACAAAAATCGTTCTGAACCTAACGAAGAAAATATATTTCGTTGTTTTTATTGTTAAATTATTGTAAACTGATGTAAAATATATTTAGTTAGATTAGGTTAAATTAAATTGCATTGGTATAAAGTTAGGTAAGTTTTCTAAGGTTCTTATGGCACCAAATTATTAATTTTTACATTAACATAAATGAAAAAATATATCTAAACGTATAAAAGAAAAATTTAGAAAGAACTTAATTTTAAATGAGCTCTTGCTAATTGATCAATTTTACCTATTCGGCACGACAGACACAACACCACGACACACACACACACACACACACACACACACCACACACACACACACACACACACACACACACACACACACATACACACACAAATATATATATATATTATATATATATATATATATATATATATATATATATGTCGTGCCGAATAGGCAGAACTTGCGATCTTGGCTTAAATAGCAACGCTCATCTTGCCATATAGGACAAGTGAAAATTTGTGTATGCAATAATTTCGCCAAAATCATTCTGAACCTAACGAGAAAAATATATTTGATTGTGTTTCTTTAGTACTAAATTATTGTAAACGTATTTAAAATATATTTAGTTGGGTTAGGCTAAAATAAATTGCTCTTGTTATAATAAGGTTAGGTAAGTTTTCTAAGATTCTTTTGGTGCAAAATGAAAATTTTTTTCATTAGCATTAATGAAAAATATATATCTTTAAACGTATAAGAGAAAATTTTAGAAAGGACTTAATTTTAAATGAGTTCTTGCTAATTGACCAATTTTACATATTCGGCACGACATATATATATATATATATATATATATATATATATATATATATATATATATATATATATATATGTGTGTGTGTGTGTGTGTGTGTGTGTGTTATTTGAGTTGACTTTAAGATATAATTTCATACTTGAGTTGGGTCTGGCAAGGTGATAATTAGTACAGTTATAATGGTTGTAACTTCATATATCAGACCTTCATATTACTGTTGTAATCAACAAATAGTGAACTCCACAAATCATGTGTAATTAGTTAATATTTCTAATTATATAATCATTGCATTAAATAAATATCCGTTCTTCACGACCATGAATAATGTTTATCTAGTATTTAATTTTCCTTTTCTCTTGCATGTATTAGTCAGATAAGTCACATTTTCGTAGGATATATTTTGTTTCTGTGTATTATAGACATATTTACATGAATTAATATGGTAATACCAAAGATTTTTTTGTTTGTTTTTACCAATACTGGTCCATCAGCAGTAGGAGGTCTTATGTAGAATCTGGTCGTGAGGGAGGGGGGGGAGGGGGGCCTGAAACTATGTAAAGGTAATCTTACCTAGTATGTACTAACCTCATCTTTCTTTTAATTTTATCTAATATAATAAGCACTATATCACCCAAAAGGATTTAGTAGGTTTGCAAATAATAATGATAGGTAGCTTACTCCTGCCCAACTTGTTAAGGTCACCCTAAACTGACCTAGTAATATTAAACATCGTCGAAATTTACTAATTTCAGGATGTTCTGGCAGAATTGTTGCCGATAAGCCAAGTTGATAAGTTGTTCTTTAAAAGTATCTAAAAGTAGTTTACAGTAATTATATGGGGAAAATGGAGAGTATGGGGGGAGAAAAAGAGAGGTTAGGATGCTGGTGGATTCCGGAAGGCACAACTGACTACTATCAACAAATTTTGATAGGTTTGTCAGGAAACATGACAAGTGTTACCTGACACGGGTCTTAATCATATGATCCGTAGTTGGAGCTTTTGGTGATCTGACCGAGACCGTCGGCAGGCTTACTGATACACCCTTGAAAAAATATGATTATGATTAGAACCATCAGAGTATAAAAATGTTAATAGGTAAGACAACGTAGGGAGTAAATTCTGTTCTAAGAGGGATAGCTGCATGCTGAATAACGAGCTCTTGATCCAGGGAATTGAGCTACCCTCTTTTTCCTCGAATCAAATCAGATTATCTCCCGTTCCCCAGGCTCTGTATGCCCCATGAATATAATAGGAAAAATGAATGTTTGGTTGAAGTGCATAAGGGTAAGTGGATAAGTGTTTACGAAGTATGTTTATTGGAATAAGTCAGCGCACACTGATGCTGTGTACGTCAAGTGTTTACACTGAACCATATATGTGAACAGTAATTAGACGAGATAGAAGATTTTACGTTGATTTAGAAAAGACACAGTAATGTGGTGGTGTGGCTGGTGTTTTAAATATATGGATCATGTGGTAAGCTGTTAGGGAATGTAGGAGAGGATAATGTTTTCCCTGTAACTGTAACAGTGGATCTTAGTCAAGGATGTGTGTCATGTCAAATGCTATTTTAATGGTGTAAGAGAAGTGAGTGCTAGAATGTGGAAAGATATGCAAATTTGACAGATAATGAATCGGATATGAAGTGGGAGTTGTCATCGTTGCTGTTAGTTGTTGTTAAGGTGGTGTGTGGGCAGTGTGACGACAGGTGGTTACACAGGGGCAGTGTGACGACAGGTGGTTACACTGGGGCAGTGTGACGACAGGTGGTTACACTGGGGCAGTGTGACGACAGGTGGTTACTGGGGCAGTGTGACGACAGGTGGTTACTGGGGCAGTGTGACGACAGGTGGTTACACTGGGGCAGTGTGACGACAGGTGGTTACTGGGGCAGTGTGACGACAGGTGGTTACACAGGGGCAGTGTGACGACAGGTGGTTACACAGGGGCAGTGTGACGACAGGTGGTTACACAGGGGCAGTGTGACGACAGGTGGTTACACAGG